GAAAGAGTGGGCGCTCAGGGATTCACGCCTTGTATTCAGGGAGGCTGTGTCAGCCCGGGCCTCGTGTGCGCCGTGCCAGTTCAGTTCACGGGCACCAAATTAGATACGGGCTATTTTCGATCGACGGTACAGTCGCTCGCTCCAGTTTGCCCACGATGACGAGTTAAATCATCAAGAGAGAATTCACCGAACTTTTGTTACACGCGGTATAGCCCGCGTCTCTTGGAAGCCACGTGGAGAACGACGAGAGGCAAGAGAGGTTCTCGAGTCGTCACGTGTCTTACTCTAGCGGAGTTTGATTTTCAAATTTACTTCCACGTTATTTACTTCTACGTGGGTGTGCAATAACTGAAACATTCGTTCATATGTTAGAATTAGAACTCTTATATTAATAATGATATTGTCACGAAATATCAATGCCTAGTCGATATTAAATCAACAGACTACATGTACCATTGTATATATAAAGTTTATATGGCTAAATATAATGTCTGCGTGTGTAATATGTATTAATCATTTGATACATAATAATTAATTAGAGTATTTTATAAATAATTGGTTTAATAGAAAAGATAATTACAAAAAATATTTTATAAAAAGAATATTTGATAAAAATACGATAAAGTATATAAAGAAAATATTAATTTATATATTTTTATAAAGTATTGAATACTATTTTGTTGGACAAAAACCAAAGACACACATATACATATTATTTTTCTTATGAAAGCAATCTGCACTTTACATTCTTAATATAATTTCTAAACCAATAATATAATTTCATTATATAGTAATTAAAAATAATAAAATTTAACGTGTGTAATTTTTTATCGTCGGCGATTATCATATGCAATTATTTCATTTAATCTTTCTCGTGTTTGCTATAAAATATAATTTAGATTTAAAGAGTTCTATTAACCGGAATTCGAATTGTTTCGAAGAAACATTGTATATACTTCCTCCTTTTCTCCTATATCTTATCCCCTTTCCCTCATAATTTCATATACGAAAGATCACAGTGCAGCGTGTATCTAATTTGCAGATAACAGAAAGACAGCCTAATCGAGATGTCGAGGCCAATCCTTAGCAGGCCGCGCACGTTCATCTACGGCAGCAACTACGACAAGGGCGAGTCCTATTACAAGCCCATGGTCGACCACCTAGACCGGAAGTATAGCTCGCGGCCGTTGTTCCCGGAGCCGAGAAACTCTCTAGCCGACGAGATCGCGGCGCGCCGTAGCGACATCGGTAACCTGTTCAGTCGTTTTCCGAAGTGGTTTTAAAGGAGTGTTGCAAAAAAGACTTGCCAGATCCTCCTCGAGAGATTGTCGATGAGGCTCGCGCTAAATAGATATTCGCTATGCAAATGAAATACTTGAGAGAAAAACTCTTATCCCCCTCCCCCCGTCCTGTCATCTCTCGTTCCGACTTCCACGACTCGCATGATCGATCTACTTTGCGGCGAGGTATTGTCAATTGTGATTACTCGCCTTGACATCGCCTCGATCATCCTCGATCAATTTTCTGATCAGAGGAATCGTGATGCAGAGCTCGAAATTAGGATGTGAATGGAGAATCGTTGCCCAGGATTTGTCACCGTTAAATGAGATTTATATTAATAAAAAGAGATATCAAACACAGAAACAAAAAATTATTTTATCTAATATTCCCAGATAGGTCCAAAGATAGAGCAAAGTATTTATCGTCATTTAATCCTAGCAGGATTTTCTATAAATTTGTGTAACATATATTTATTATATATATTCACAGCACAACACATTAAAAATAAATTACATACTGTATTCAAAATGGATCAAGCATTATCTCTGCATTAATAACCAATCTATTAGAAGAAAATTATAGATAAATTAAAATAGATTATAATGAAGAATTGTAGCGAGAGATATGTAAATAATTAGATATTTCTTAGACGCAGTCTCTTCTTGAGTATTATTAAGACTAAAACTTACTGTCTCCTGGTAATCAGCGAACGAAATCTTCACATTCTAACGGTTTGATTAGATTTTGATGTCATCCTTTTGCGTGCATCGATCTTTATTGTTTTGCCTGCCGTCTATAGTTAGTCTTTTGATCTTGATGTATCATTTTGTTTGAATAAACGTTTTGTTTCCTAAGTACACGTGTCTTTGCGCGAAAAGTTTTAGTGTGATTATTGTACATACGTTGCGCTTGCTGCGATGATCGTTTACGAGATCAGCTTCTCGAGAATCGAGTCGCGATTCAGATTCTGAAATCGTGAAACTTGATCTTCGCCGTTAATTTCCGGACATTTAACGCATGCACATAATTACATATACTCATGTCTCACATCGACACAGACACAGTGAGGTGATTTATGAAAGATATTTCACATGTCCTCTTTAGAGTAATACATCTGCAATAAAATTGGCAGTTATCGTCCAATTACCGACGAATAAATTTATGTCTCTACGTAGCCGGGCAAAAATCAGCATCAATAAATTATCGGTTGCGAGAAATAGCAGACTTCTTGGATCTCGATCCTACAGGATGTCCCAGGAAAAAAAATAAGAAAGAGTATACCAGCATTTTGTCATCAGAAAAATTTGTCTTTCCCTTTAGTGAAAATTAATTCGTGATTAATTTGTATTTTTTTTTTATTTTGCATTGTTAAGGATTGTTTAAAAATTAAGAATACGTATCAGAAGAGATTCTTCTATATGTCTAAAAAATTGCAACATCTAAAAATAGCAAGATAAAAGATCTAAGTATTTGATAATCTTACAAAATTTAAATAGTTAAACGATATCTTTAATTTTTTTGGCAAGAGAAAACGCGAATGTAATGTTACCTGCCATAACTTTACTTATTTGGGACACCCTGTATGTTCCTAATAGTCACAGATGGTGTAACGCGGAGGATGAGGATGAGTGTTGTGCTTGACGTTAGGTACAACTTAGTTTATTAACATAGTCAGGCACACATTAATGGGATTTTGTAGATGTGCCAGATCGTTAATGCGATGCGCATCCGAATTTATTTTTGATCAAACGACGCTAAAAATACATGCAACCCGCGGTATAAAATTTACTTGGCCAAAGACGAATCGTAAGCAGAGATGTATTGCAATGTAATTGATACAAAGACGGTGCTGGTTTCTTATAAAATTTTACGAACCAATAATTTCACAGATAATAGCAATGTAATTTCAATTTTGCATAATATTTGCGTACTTTGCAAAATTAAATAGGTAAAATTATTTTCTAATGCATAATTTTTTTATTACACGTAGTATATGGTAACATATGTAAGTTTCCTCTTTCTTATAATATCTATTTTTTACATATTTTATATAATTTAAAACATTGTAACTTGTTAATTCTTTTAATTTTTATGTCATTGCAAATTTTTATTACGATTAATGCATTTTCGTTGCTGTTGAATCTAACGTCAAGTTATATTTTTATTAGAGTTCTAAGTTAAATTATAACCAGTGCTGGAAATAAAATCTTTAATTTTGCAGAAAAAGAAAATTGGATTAAGTCACACTATTTATATCTCGATATTTACTTATCGCATATAAAAAATGTGAAACATTATATTCGAAATAAAGACATTTCAAATGAAATATTGTTTTACCTGCACCTTCCCTCAGTACCATCACTGGTTATAATTCATTATATCCTAAGAGTACAGTTAAAATAAAATACTTAAATTTTATGACATATCTTGATGATACATAGAGACATATTTATTAATATATTTTTAGATTGCGCAATTTATAGCTGACATGATTGAATCGCGACCTTGCGAGATTCTCCATCTTTTCTTCCTCTATCCATCATTATCTCTCATCGATTTTCACCATTTTCCATCTGAAATCGTTGACGCTATTTCGATCGTTTGATATTGCTTCTCGGCGACATGCCCATCATCGCTCATCGTCCATCATCGCTCATTATCGCCCATCTCCACTCGCACAAGTCAACGCTCTTTTCTGATATCGGTTTTTGCAGGCACGCACGGCCTCTCCGGTCCCCGCACCGGTTCCCTCGGGCGCGACCCTGACCTCGACCTTGACCCCCGTAACCGAGCCTCCCAACTACCGCCCTTGACTGACCCCCTGCTAGCCCCCGATGACGAGGACACCGTCTATGACAGCCGTGGACAGCGCATATCAGCGCGACACAGGATGGGTGACGAGTTCGTGGACGACGTGATGGCAACGACCCGCCGTTTTCGAGCTCGAGTGGCGGCGATGAACGTCGAAGACGAGCTCGAGGCCGCGACCAGCGCGAGTCAGGCAAGAAGAAGCGCCAGCGATCTTCTGGAGAACGCCATAACTGCCAGGAAGGGCATTAAATCGGCGATCGAGGATGCCGAAAGCAGTTTTAAGAAGCGCTCGAAGCTTTTCGACGAGATCGATCGCGCCGACGAGGGTAAATCTACGTTCGCCAGGTGGACCAAGCTGGTCAACGAGGATGACGATCTAATACCGGCCAGCGCAGCCGCCAGCCGAGCCAAGCAGACGAAGGCGCGCCTCCACGATCTTCAGTCAGAGATGGATGAGATTGCCGAGAGGCAAGCCAAGAGAGAACGCAGAACGGCGGCTCTCAGGGCGTTGGTCAACGAAACAGTGCCCGATTCCAATGTCGTTCAACAGTCGATGTCGAGCCTCAGTAAGAAGGTGTCGGTACGCAGTGCCGAAAAGTCGGAGAAGCACGTCAGTTTCTAGACGAGGAGAATTTTGCGATCTATTTTAGTTTTCACGACGGTGTTTTACAGTTGTACAGATATATTGTACCCTGAAGACTTCCGTTTTGTGATCCGTGAAAGAGAAAAAAATCCGATCTTAATATAAAGTTTGTCACGGTTACCATGCAGAGAGATTGTTAATTTTTTGGAAAATGCAGCTGAAACAAAAGCAATTTTTTCGACTTATTATATGTTCTTATTTTAATCTAAAATATGCAAGAATACAATTTTATTATTTGTTAAATTGTTTTTTAAATAATTAAAACATATGTATCAAATAGAATTTTTAAATTATTTGATTATTATAATATCTACATATACATATATTGCATATAATATTTTTAATTTAATTCAATTTTTTGGCTATTTCAGTTGCAATGCAATATTACGATTGTAACTTGATTTGTTATAAAACACACACATTATTGTACTTTAATATACGAATATAGAATTTTTCCAATATATTTGCCATTAAATAACGACCGATGTTTGCGTTCTTGGCAATTATGCACTTATAATGTCGTTAATTTGTTCGTGAAAGAAACGTACGTTAGCTATATTAATGGTATTTAATTGATAATAATGTATCTTGGCGCTTATATTTCCATGATATACGTACGTTCGTTTCACGTAGCTCTATAATTATAACTGTATTAATACGTTAATATGCGAGGCATATCTTTCGAAAATATATTTAATCTATCATTTTTTATTCAATTAAACTATTTTTTTGATTATAATTGAGATTTACTAGTTCTATTTTTATTTTAAATCGTGATTTTTATATAAATTTCGACGAACGAGTTTAATTAATGTTGCGTCAACTATATTTCTCAAAATTTAATATGTATATATTTTCGATCGATATCCCTCGCATCGTGATAATTTTTTGCTTTTCTGCTCCTCGATCTGTGATTCGAGAGAGCTTAAGTGTTGATTGTTCCTAATGAAAGAGAAATACATTTTAGAAAATCTGCAAAAAAATATTCTCATATATTAAGTATACTTATATAAATACAATAATCGTACTGTCATAATTGCTCTCAAAAAACATTGTCGTTTTCAGAGAATTATTTTCCGTTATTATTTGGGGAGCACACACTTTGTAACGCAAATTTTTAAAAACACAGTTCTCAAGAGAAGCGCGACATAATCTATAAAACTTTTGCCAGAAATTCAACATATACATATATGTAAACTTCATCTTTCTTATTTATGAATAAATCTTGTTTGAAAATCTTTTTCGAGAAGCACTGGTATATATAACTGACAATGAGTGACACGTGTGTGTACTACAAATTTTTCCATGTCTCCTTTATACATTGTGTATCTTGTTGTTTTCCTTTCTTTTCCGCATGCAGACCTTTCACTAGCTGCATAGAAACTACAGGTAAGAATTTATTTTATGAAACAAGAAAAATTGATCAATATAATTCTTGAAAATTATATAGCTATAAATTAATATAAATTCATCTAACTTTACTAAAATTTTCATATATCGTGATATACAATGTATAACTGTGTGTTTATGTATATAACACAACTGGTAATTTTACACATATAAATGATGATAATTATTATAAGTAAAACGTATATTTATTATTTATTTTTAAATTGAAGATTTGCAACAAAAAACAGAGGTTTAATATTAATATCTTAACACAAGTCCACTAACATTTTAGGTTCCCGTAATCTATCGGGAAATCGTGACGATTTTTACGACGAACTGGACTTTTTGGTCGACGGACGTGGTCGACCCATTCAAGAAGATCCTTACGAAAACGATTTCGTGATAAGTCACCGACGTTTTAAGGAACGCGCAGCTGCCGCATTTGAGGAAGATATGGCGGAATTGAGACGCAAGAAACGGGATATGCAGGTTGATTTAAACAAAATAATATATCAATAATTTGCAATTAAAAATTGGATTAAAAAAGTAGTTGCAGCGTATAATTGTATGTATATCTATATAATTATAGATCAGCCAATGAAGTATTAATTACTTTACATTATGAACATTTTTACCATATCTGGAGGACTTACTTTCTTGCAGGATCGCATCTTTGACGTGATCGATCTAAACGCTGAGATCGAAAAGGCCAAGAGCACGCTGGAGGCAGCCGATGTAATGTTCCAGCGACACGCGACGAAGTTCAACAATCAAGATAATGACGAACAGGAGATATCGCTGACTCAAAAACTTGACAGAACGCGCAAAATCGCAAATATGGAGCTGGTGCCGGAACAGCCGAAGAAGCCCAAGACCTTCCTGATGAAGTGGTCGAAAGCGCCGGTTGAGGAGCCAGAAGCTGACCAAACAGGCAGACAGCGCAGAATCAACTCGCTGATTGATACCAGCGAAATTGGTAATCCGCTGGAAGCTCTCGCGATGCAACCGATGAAACGGAAAATGTTAAAGAGGAAGAAAAGTGTTTCGTTTTAAGAGCCGAGCGTGCTCTTTATTGAGTATTATATGTCTAAAATTTACCAAAAAAAATTTTAGAGAAAAGTTTTTTTGTGGGATTTAAAGAATCTTTTTCAACATATATATTAGATATCCTGAAATATATTAATATAAATATATTATAGATATCCTGAAAAAAAGTTTTAAGATCTGACAGAAAAGATAATGTATATTTTTTTTTGTTGCAACGGAAAATTTGTCATATTGTCAAAACACAATATTCTGTAAAAGTAACTTGTTATTTTTGGTTATAATCCTTGATAAATATAATTACAAATATATTTAATAAATATTATATTTAATAAATATTAAATATATTTACTAAATATAAAACTATGAGAAAGAATATTTGGGGATTCTATTCTAATTCTAAGCGAAAAATAAAAATCCTATGTTATTTTATCTAGAAGTTTCTGCTGGAAAAAATAAAATTAATTATATCAAGTATCAGCTAAAAAGAAAGATACAATAACGCGATAAAGATCCGAAAAAGCAATTTTTTTGACGTTTGAAATGTTTACAATGGTATATTTTATATAATGTCAATCTTTAATGGTCTCAGTTATATATTCTATTTAAATTACAACACATTACTGTCAATATTATTTTACAGAAAGCATCTAATAAAAATTGTGGAATCGCAAAAATACGATATAATAAAAGCAATTATATTAATGTATGTATCCAATTCGATTATAAGACATATATTAAAACAAAAATAATGATAAATAGATGCTTCCCTTGATAGATACATATGTGTGAATATGTGAAATTTAAATGGCCTTTTGACGATTACTTCTTTCGCTTTGAATAGAGCAGGAAATGAATTTCCTTATAAGATCTTTTGATATTTAAGGCTGTAATAAGCGCGAGTATGGTAACTGTAATGTCTGGACGTGAGTTCCATATTTGTGATGTACTTCATATCAGCCGAACGTTTGAAGCTCTTATCCTTATTTTTCTGATCGTAAATTCTCATGGTTCTTTCTGCCCATTCCTGGGCCCTAGGTGGCTCACGAAATATGCCCTTCTGCCTCTGATTGAGATAATCGATCACATCGTCGTAATAATTCTTCCTATTAAATAAAGAAGATCGTTCCAAGAGAGAGAGTTCGAGTATTGAGAAATAATTAATCGATCGTCATCGCGATTTTAAAATTTTACAAGTTTAATCCTTGTTATATATAATAATAAAAAAGGCAATTATATATGTATATAAATATTTCTTATAATATTTAAAATTATAAATCTATTTTTTAAAGCAAAGTTTTACTTAAACTATTCAATTTTATGAAGTAAAAAGAAATTTCTTTGCAAAAATCACATTGTTTTTAATTTGATTCAACCTGTGCTTTAATATTCTGAGTTAATTTATTAATCTTTGTTTTGATATTAATTAATGAACGATCGACTCACCTATAATCATAAAGATAGGCGTAGTTAAGGAACAATGGTCGAACCCAATGATGATTGTAATGGGGTGGTTCGATCTTTTCCAATTTTAGAACCGGCTTCTCAGGAGCGGCTCCTTCAGCCGGTGCACCTTCTGCTGCACCTTCGGCAGCTGCTTCGGGCGCGGTTTCTTCGGTATCCCATGCCGCAGGTTCATCGTCCCACATGATAGTTTTGACACAAATTCACTTCAATATTGAGCCTCTGCAAATATTAGTAAACGAGAGGGTAAAGGAGTAAATTTGTTAAATAAATAAAATTAATCAATTATTTTTAAATTATTACTACTTTTAATTGACTTAATAAATAATTAAAAATAACTTCTTTGGTAATCTCTATCTGGTTCTTTATACTTTTTAAATTTTAATATCAGATTTTTTAAATATTTAGAAAGCTTTCTATTTTCTATTTATTGCCTTTCTATTTATTTGAGAGTATAAAAATTTGATCAAATGATTCGATTAATTCATTTTTCAATAGGATATATTTAACCGATTGTGTATATATATATATATATGTGTGTGTGTGAAGAAACAGGTCATCGTAAGATACAACAAACCGTTTGGCTAAAGTATCAATTGTTATTTATGGCGAAACTAAATGTCGTACCGATCTCCGAATTGCACTCAAACGTCTTGAGTAATACCAAAGTAATATGCATAACGTTACTCTCTCTCTTTCTCTCTCTTTCAATTCTAATTATCTCTTATCATAAACAAATCAGATAAAATAATGATAATTTGCAAAATATGAATTCTATATAAAATATAAATATCTATTTGTCGTTGAAACATTTTATAATATTTCCTACATGAATCAAAATCATAATTCTTTAAAAGAAAAAAAAGACATAAAAATCTTCAAGTGAGCGATTTAAAAGTGATCGCACAGAAAGTTCCGTAAAAATAACGACGAAAGGCAATCTCACTGTATGAAAACTATCATTCACTTTGTGTTTTTTTTTTCGCGGTATAGCCGAGGATTTTCCGAGGGATATTGGGTTCTTGCGATACTTGCTTCTCGATGCACTCGCACGTACTGCAAAAAAGCCACCCTTATGCGCGCCACGGGCTCGCTGCTCTCGCGGACCTAACGTTGTTTCGCTTTTATTTTAGCACCTCGAAATCTTTTGCGCCCCCTTTCGTACCTTCGAAAATGCGTATCCCTATTTCGTTAGAGGAGGGGGTAATTTGGCACGCGATCCGCGACAATCATTGGCGTGCGATGGCTTCTCTTCTCCACGTGTACATACGCACATTTGTGTCGACAATTAGCCCGCGATTAGCCTGCGCTTCGTCCTTGCGTAACTTCATGGACGCGTTGACATTGAAAAGTCAATAGTTAATCTTGGCTAGAAAAACCGATGTAGATGTTAAAATCAAAGAATGATATAGTTATAATTTTCTTCGATAAATCAATTTAAATTTCCGATGTTTAAGTATTGCATATTAATAGTGTGATTATTTCTTAACATGTTATATTTCAAATAACTTTTTTTCACTCTATAGAATTTTTTATGTAGCGAAAACATATGGAAAATATATATAAAATTACCTAAAAAAATAAATATTGCAAGTTAGCATTGAAATAAAATAAATGTCAAAATAAATTACATATACATATATAATTTTATTAATATCTTTCATAATTTAAAAATTCTTATTCTCGCTTTCATTCACTTTAATATTCTGTAATAATATAAAATTTTTATGCACGCGATATTTGTATATATAAGAGACTTTATTGTTTGACACATGCGAATAATTATTACTATTTATAGATCAATTACTGTGGCCTAACTTTAAAGATTTGTGTGCATGAAATGATTTCGCAACAATATCATTGACATCGTACCCTGGTTTACTTACTATTTATGTGTAAACAGGATTAAATACATAATTGGCTTGTAACAGTTAAAATGTGCTATCAATTTGACATTATATTAGTCGACTGCTATAAAATGTACTTAGTATCTGCATATAAAAAATAAAAATGACTGATATCAAATTTATTACTGATAGTAATTTTTTAATGTTACACACAGGTTATCATTTAATTATTAGACTTAATAAACATTTAGATTTAGTCGATTTAATCAATTACTCATTTCACTTGAAAAAAATTAAATATAGCTTTAAAATTAAATTTTTGAAGAATAATACAATTTATTTTAGTTTTATACCTGTAAGATGAAAATTACATATATAATTTATTATCATCATTTTTCCTTTCAAATTTTTATTTTCCGAGACAAATTTGCATAATCCTGATAAATCAATAAGAATAATCATTCAGGATCTTAATTCCTCAACATCATTTGAGAAAAAGAAACTTCGCAGAATGGGTGAAAAGGTATGGATAGCATCAGAAAGAGATGAGTGCGAGAAAAGGGACACGCAGCGTCGAGGAGAATCGCATGTCTTCTTAAAGCAGATGTGTCTGGATTGATCGAACGCACGTGCAGTCGTGAAGCAGTGTACTTTGTTAAAGCAGATATGCCCTTCATTGAGCGCGCGCGCGCGGAGATCGCGTAGCCGCGTACTTGCTTAAAGCAGATATGTCCTTCATCGAACGCGCACGGACGTCATATAGTCTAGCGCACGTGCTTGCTTAAAGCAGATGATACGCAATTAATGAATATAATATACCAATATATATCCAAACGATGATTTTACCGGTAGTGCCGAAAAGTAAATGTGGCTATATAGTTTCAACTCTTAAAAGTGGATGGGGTTGTTGTACGGGGGGATTTAATCATGGCCGCTTTCAGGCTTCTCTCTGGTAGCACGCGTGGTTGCAATTTTAACCTCGAAATATTACACCACAAACATTAATGTAAACTAATAATTTGCACGTGACACATGAAGCATAGTTCGAAATACATATTCGAAATCAGCATGTCAGCATGTTTTCGTCAGTAACGATGCTTCAACGAGCTCTGTTCGGTAAAACAACGTACGGCCTGTCTCGTTTGTTGTCCTTAAGCCGGGTTAATAAATTTTCTGATTCCGTTCCTGCGAAAGAAGATGACAGCCCGTCTAATACAGACGAATCGCAAAATAAATCTTCCACGAGCGACATCGAGATTCCCACGGGTGAGGAGAATGTTGCTCATCTTTTGAAAGAGGCTGCCACTTACAGTGATGCTAAAGATACGAGTTGGGCGACGAGTCCTTATCCCGCTGATGCTCCAACATCCGTCGAGGAGACAGTCGTGAAACCAAAGATCGATCCCTTGGATACCTCCATTGTGCTTTTTCCAGGACAGGGCACCATCAAAGTCGGCACAGTACAGAAGTACTTGCGCTTTCCACAAGCGAGAGAGTTGTTCCAAATGGCCAACGAGATTCTAGACTTTGATCTACTGAAGTTATGTCTGAAGGGTCCCCAGGAGAAGCTGAATCAGACACGTTTCAATCAGCCAGCCACAGTACTAACTTCTTTGGCTGCATTGGAGCAGCTCCGTGAGGAGAGACCTAGGGTGTTTGAGACTTGTGTAGCGACTGCAGGTTACAGCTTAGGGGAACTGACTGCTCTGATTTTCTCAGGCGCTTTAAGCTTCGAGGATGGCGTCAGACTGGTCTCTGTCAGGGGCAACGCTATGCAATATGCCTCTGAGAAATCGCCTCAGGGAATGCTGTCGGTCTATTGTAACCCGGATAGTAAATTATCAGAGGCATGCAAAAATGCTCAAAAGTGGGCGCTAGATAATGGTGTAGAGGAACCAGTTTGCCAGTAAGAATTATTACATACATTTCTAAATTATATTTCTATTATATTAGGGGAATCTGTTATAGACACTTGAATTATTACAAATCTTAATTTATAGTAATTGAATTAAAATTTATAGTAATTTATAAACAATTGATAAATGTAACATTATTGTATTCAGATATTGTATTGATATTGTATTTTACAGGGTGGCAATATATCTATATACACAATCAAAGATATTGGCTGGAAATATTGAGGCCTTGGAATATATAGAAAAGAATGCAGAGAAGTATAAACTTAGTAAGTTAACCAGGCTGCCTGTATCGGGAGCATTTCACACAAAACTGATGGAACCTGCGCTCAAGTCCTTTGGCAAGATGCTCTACACAATAGAATTTGATAATCCTAGGTGTCAAGTTTATTCGAATTACAAAGCATATCCTTATAGGAATCCAAAGATAATTAAAAAATATTTGCTGAAACAAATTGTATCACCTTTGAAATGGGAACAGAGTATGCAATTACTGTATAACAGACCTCCAGGAACGGCTTTCCCACGAACGTTCGATGTAGGATCGGGAGGAAGAATGGCAACGATCTTGAAACTAATTAACGCAAAGGCGCACGATCACTGTATATCCGTCTAAGTTATTTTCTGACTATAACATAAGAAAAACCATCAGTACACATTATTATTTTGTACATACTTCGCGAACTTTATTATAGTATCGTTTCAATTGTGCCTCTTACATGCAAGAAATAAAGAAGAGATTGGAATTTTATATATATA